TTGTTATGATTATGTTTTTTGTTTCCACAGATGCATATTTTATACATCATTGTTAATTTGACTAACTTATTAACCAATATTTGGTTATATTATTTAAAACCAAAAATGTGCCTTTGGGGCTATAATTAACAAATCGGCGGGGTTAGTATTCACGTGTTAATACCAACCCCGGATGCGAGGTCTAGTATTAACAAGGAAACTGACTGTTTGTGTATAAGTAATAATTGTTTGTTTTTATGACTGCATGAGAACGTATAAACTACTTGAGACACTACGAGTAGTTTATACGCTCGAGACATCTACGGGTTTACGAGTTGACTGTGCTAGAAGTAATGAAGCAAAACAGAAATTACCGAAATGTAGCAAAAGAATTTAGGCTCTGCAACATTTCTACTATTTTCACTGTTCCATTTTGTAAAAAAAAAGCGGGTGCACCAGCGGAAATGAGTTAGGTACAAAAAAAACTTAGCCCTAAGCTAAAATGATGCCAGTTATTTCTTGGAAATTGTAAACGCTCTGACTGAAAAGCTCCTCCACAAGCTAAATTTAATCGTAAGTGGGCTACAAATCTGTCATTCTCATCGATACTCCAGGAAAGAAAGCTATGTATTGTTTGTGGCGTCTGGTATAATGAAGATTTATCAGATTGTGACAGGATTTACGATATATCATGCAACGGCTGAGCCCAAGCTGGGTGTATCAAAAGTGACATCACATCATTCAATTGCCTGAATTGTAGTTCGGATGATGAGTACGAATAGATATCCTTTTGTTACTTAATTTAGTTCCTAATCGTTGATATTTTTTTAGTATTTTTTGATTTTATAAAAAACTACATTTTATCCATGTTGTGTAAGTTAAAGGAAAATACCATTTTTCACCTCATCTCATCTCGTTGTTTGCATAATCGTTTAATTATGAGCATAAAAAACTGATGATCGGTACAAAACTGATAAATATTAAAAAAAAGTGACCAAAAAATATTGATCTCTAAAATAGCTTAACGATTAATTAAACGGGTGTATTTTTTCATGTTTAGATATTTTGTGATTGGTAATGTCTATATAAAAAAAAAAAACAGATGCTCCAAACAAGTCTGTATTAAGAGCCCTTTTATTAATAAAAATATGATTCCATGCATATATTTGTTTTCTTCTTGAATAGTTGGCATAACATAATGTTAATACTTACCTCAGAGCTGTTAATTCTAGCCCCGTTGATGGGTTAAGAATTAACAACTGACTTTTTTGAGAAATAATGTTCTATTTAAGACATCACTTATTTTATGTTTGATTTATGTTAATAACATGATACTTGAATAGTTAAAGCATCATGTCACATTAAAATGAAGTCATAATATTTTATAATTTCGAAAGTACAACTAAAAATGCAAATTTTGTTAATGGTGGTCCCGGTCTCCCCTACAAGGTAAAACTAGGAACCAATCACAATAAGAAGTGGCCTAGAAACCAAAATCAAGCCAATCAGAGTTAAGTATATTCAAAGTTTTTAAAGCTACCAGTGTTTTCGTAAAAGCCCTTTTTTCAGCAAGATTGAGAAATGTCATAGCCACTGTCTAATTATACGTGTTTTCGCGATATCCCTAGATTTTTGCGGAAAATACAGTTTACCAAATTATCCTACGACACATTATGCACTACGTCATGCATAGTTTCTACGTGTCTAACCTATCGAAACATGACTTGCCTAATCCTGGTCTCAAACATTAAATTCATAAATAATAAACTGTATAAGAACTAAATAGCAAAATTGGTTTTCTGGTTTATTGGTTTAAGACTAAAATTGGCAAGTTACTTTAAATAATTAGGCACTCTTCTTTCTAGACAGGTAACATCACAAATTATTGATCCGAATGCTTCAAGGGTTTTAGTATACTAGGTGTAACTTATAACCTACCTGTTGAATGCAAGCTGTCCCAGATTTATGACTTGGCGTTGCTTCTTATTATTATCGTTCGCAAATATTAACACGTATATCAGTCAATACATTTTGAACTATTGTACACACTAGTTATATGTTTCACTTTTCTTTTCAGTTAAATATCATAACATAACGAACACTGTTACTTACACTTTAATCTACTTAAACTCGTAATAAAATTTTACTAATTTCTAAATAGTGCTTGATAAACATCAAACAAATTTTAGGAAACATAGAAATTTTAAGCTAAGCACTAAAATATACTTGATTGTTCTACTACAACGACAAACATGCATTTTAATTTTTGTTGCACTCCATCTATCGGAAAATGCAGGTATGACGTTGGAAGCTAGTATTTCAAAGCAAATCTAGACATACTACGAGAAAATGAAATATTTTAGTTCGCAATATTGTCGCTAGATTTCGCTATATGTCTTTTATTGCGATTGACACCTTTTCATCATCATCATCATCATCATTACAACCCTTCACAAATCCACTGCTGAACATAGGCTTACACCCCAAGGAATGCCACAAAGCACGGTCCATCGACTTCCTGCATACCTTGAACCTTGACGCCTTTTACGTATATATTATCGAAATAAAACAAATTTAACAAATTTTATGCCGTTTATATTTGATGTAACTATTTAGTGTGTGTGTCATATTTATATATTACGAGTTATGCAGACATTATTTTATTAACTAAAAGGCTTAAGTGATTACTCTCTTATATATTTACGGAAGTTATCCAATAAAGAGATATATTATGTAGGTATGTATTTAAAAAAAGTTATTAACATGTTTTAAGTATACAGGTTATCCGACCATTCTTTTTTTGACATTTAAATTCATCGGGTTATAAATTAAAAGAGGTAAAATTGGTATTTTTTATTGTTGCCCATAACCTGGTACCCAATTTGAAATATGATACTTAATAAAGGAGCCGTGGTAGCTCAGATGGTTAGCGCTCGCTGTAAATTTTACAGTACTCGACTTCGGAACCCGGGTTCGATCCCCGCCGGCACCAATGAAATTGTTAATTGCAATTTTAAGTACTGATTTACCACGTGCTCGGCGGTGAAGGAAAACATCGTAAGGAAACCTGCATGTCTGAGAAATAAGAAAAAAAATTCGAAGACGTGAAGTTCGCCAATACGCATTGGGGCAGCATGGCGGACATTTCCTTGCCCTAAAACCCTCTCAGAAATGAGGGGATGCCTGTACCCAGCAGTGGGACGTATATAGGCTGTAACTTTAACTTAATGTAGGGTTTAATATAAAGACGAAAATACAAGTCGAGATAATTTCCTCGCTGTATTAATATACACAAAGATTTTTAGTTACATACTCTAATTAATTAACTTATTTCTATTTTGACTTTGACAGTTGATAAGTACACATTACTTCAATGGTACCTAACTCGAAAATCATAAAATAGGCCGAAGATATTTAAATATATAGGTATACTAGTACTTAAATGCCTTTGAAATAGGCTAATTAGCGTGTTTAACACATAGTTATAAAAAACCTTTGGTTGCCAGATGCCAAGCGTGGTAACTAAGGCAAATATCCCCATAAGAATCATTTTATTGGGGAGGCTTATCTACAGTGAGCTGTAAACAATAAATGAATTAATCTTTTGCAAATGTAATAAATTTTGGGCGTGGGATGCTGCGGAGCCGCTTAGGACAGCAAAGCCAAAAATGCTAACCTAACCCTAACTATTTTTGAAATAGGTATCTCACAAAAGTAAGATTGGCAAAAGTTGTTTATAATTAATATAATAATATTAATATTCTTTTATAATTTATTATTTAAAAACAAAATAATGTATTATTTTATACTGATACCCTTGACGAACGCGTGTATCCAGATTATGTCTATTATCAGAACTTTTATTAGGTACCAGATGTACATAATATTTTAATCAAAAATATTCAAAAACTGTTAATTTAAGATGTTTACTGGAATTAAAGATAAAGATAAGGCGGGGATTGACATTCATTCCCAAAATTTTCATTCAAATTTTCATCGTGGTAGAGCCATGTTGCAGATATATTATGGTTGTAGCACGATTAAATTGGCTCGATCGGGGAAGGACGATGATCTCACCGAATACCAACTTAATACTCCTGTGTTTTGATGGCGAGTTAAAAGAACCGAGGCATTCGATCTTAGTCCTTAGAGATGACAACACATCCGCATTTTGATTCTTAATCGAGGATAGATGTAGATGTCTATGGGGCACAGCATCCACTTACTACCAGATGGACTGTGTGCTCGTTTGTTACCATTATTATATAAAAAGATACTTCCAGGGCTATGTAACCCGCCTAGTTATTTATTAATCTAATCTTTATTGAAACTTACAAAATAGTACAGGATCAAAAGTTGGACTGAATGCTAAAAGCATTCTCTGCCAGTCAACATTAGGGCAGTGATAACACTACGAAGGCGGTTGCGGAGAACATAAAAAATATTATAAATAGTAAACATATATACACAAACGTATACACATATAACGCTCCATGGAATACACACATACAAATAAACATATACACATGTAAATATATAAATATTTATAATATAAGACAACATGGTATAAGATACATAATATACTGATTAAACGAAGATAGCGATAACTGTAATGATGACGGAGCATAGCAGTTGTGAACCATTTTAATAAAATGAGCCCGTGTGTTACCCCACTGTCATAAATTAACTTCGTAATTGTTCTTTTTAAGTATTTTAGTAACTTCATATTAGCCGCATTATCTAAACCAAAATAAACTGGAATTGAAACTTAATACACGTACATATCTTAACCATAAAATAAGACTATACTAATATGCAATAAATACCAGTGTTAGTGATGAAGTGTTGATTGTGAACGCTGTTAATGTTGTGGTGTTAACAAGTTCTTAAAAGAAAGTGAAATGCGAACGAAAATGTGAGAACCGTTAGTAGCGACAACAATTTACAAAGCTCTAGATGAGGCATGGGTGCGTTGAAAGTGTTGTGTGTAGTGTCGAAGGGGGACTAAAAACATCCTCAAAATGCTGAGCCGTTGGAAAAGTAAAGATAAGTCCGATAAAAGCGGCAAAACTTCAAGTTCCGGCGGGAAGAAGAAACGAAAGGGGAGAGAAAATGGTAAGTCTTTATTTGAGTACACCTGAAATATTTTATCCGTGTTAGGGTCACACTGCTGTGTACGACTACAGTGCGCGTAGATCACTCGGGGATATACCAGCGTCTACTGGACACAGTCGTCACGCGTTGTTTCTTTTTATAGAACAATGGTGGCACACGAGCATATAGTTCATCTGATGGTAAGTGGATGCTGTGGCCTATAGACATCTACATCTAAGATATCATCTTAAGAATCCAAATCTAGATGCATTTTCACCCCTGAGGACTAAGATGGAATGCCTCGTTACCATACGAAACACAGCAACATTATTTTGCTGTTTCGCGCTGGTATTACTTCAGTCCAGCGGAGCTATTCGTGCTACATTCACAATATAGTTGTAGCGCGGCTTTACCACGTAAATTATAATAAGTAATTTAAGGACTACTTTTCCATCACTGGATAAAAATCTATGAATTAAATTATTACTTGTCTGAACATAAAATTTGAACCATTTTATTAATACAAATGTAAATTTAATTTTACTATTATACTCGTACTACGAACTATATAGGTACTACAAATAACTTTTATCAGATTGAAAAATCAGAGTATCATAGAGTTCGAGTTCGAAAATTACAATATAGCCGACCCATTTTAAGGGTCTTCTCTCGGGGTGCGCACGTTTTGCAGCTTTACACCCACGCTTGGGGTGGCGTTGCCATACAAACGACAGAGATGGGGGGTTTCATAACAAACATTCCATTTGCAGATATCAAAGAATGCTTTTAAAAGGGATTTTACACCTTACACGTTGACGAATCGATAACGCCTGCATAGAGTTTCATTTCTAATCTATAAAAAGAATCTAATATTATATCCATACGACTAGTACAAATAATTTTAATGTCGATTAGAATTTGTAGCTAAATACCTCAGCTCATACACATTAAATTTTTATTGTTGTAAAAACATGGAAAAGTATAGTAAAGTATAGTTATTTCTATATAGTTTTCATATAATATATTTATAGACCAAATAGTAATATAGTCATAAGATAATTAGGAAATACTTTTAATATTAAATATAGATACACTAAATTTCACCTATTTTATTTAGAGTTCGTGCAATAATGAAAATAGTTTATTATGTTTCTAATATATAAACATATTTTTCTGTACTTGGTAGAGCCACGCTACAGCTACACTATGGTTATATGGTTGTAGTACGAATGGGTCGACTCGACCAGGGTAGAAACTTGCTCTCACAGAATACCAGTGTAAAATAGCAGCTTAAGGCTGCTTCTATACATGTTTCGTATTGGGAATCGGAGAATACTTTTACTGAAAACAAGACATTCGTTTTTGGGGATTGAACTGGACTAGATTTACCCGTAGTCACAGTGGCTTAGCAATCAGTTGTTGCGCTAGGGGCCGCGGGTTCGAATCCCGCACGGAACAAGTATTTGTATGGCCTACAAATAATTGTTCCGGGTCTGGATGTTTGTCCTTGTGCAATTTATGTTTGTAAACTGCCTCCACGACACAGGAGAAAATCCTAGTGTGGGGATAACGATTTTCTAAAAAAACAAAAACAAAAACTTGGCAACGTTTTCCCGAGAAATATTGGCAGGGCCGGTGTACACATAACCAGTGCTGTCATCTGCATAGCAATGAATGTTACCGGTTGGCAACATACATATCATTGATATGCAGAAGAAACAGCTATGAGTTAGGTAACCTAGAAGATCAACAGCTGACCGACCTCGACGGAAACCGTACTGGCGGTCACTAATCAGCTGGTGATCCTCAAGTTACCGCATCAGCTGGCAGTTAATAATAGTTTCCATTACTTTGTAGAACAAGAAGGTGATAGAGCCTGTAGTTAGACGGATCTGAGCGGTTGCCTTTTTTAGGGATCGGGTGCACCAAAGCTGTCTTCCATGAGTTCAGTACTTCACCTAGGGAGTTGGAGTACCGGAAAAGACACGTTATATATGTATGGAATATTTCATCTCAGTCGGGAACCGGAAAGTGGGTTAAATAAAACTTGCAAGATTTGATTACACACACTGGGACAGGTGAAACTAAATAAAAGCTAGTAATACAAATAACAAATGAGGTAATCGCTACCATGCTGGTTCTATTGTAATTCATATAAGTAATTGTACAATATTATTATTATTATTACTTTTATATCTTTATTTTTTCTAGCCTTGCGGCCGTTATTAATGCTAATTACGGGTGTTCACCAAGTAAAAAGCATATGGGCGTTTTATTAAGTAGTGTGTTCTGGGATATTGGGCGTAACTTCGTTTTCATCTATTTGTAAAAATTTTCTCACAATGCGGCACGTATTTAATATGGCGGCTTTCTGTAATTGTATGTATTTATTCTCTTTTATATTTAATAGTTTCAGGCTGTGGTGAAGATGTTTTGGGATAACTCCTGTGGTTGATAACACAATCGGTACTATGTATGCTTTTTCTTGTTTCCAAATTCTGCTAATTATTATTATTATTATTATTTGGGGCATCTATATAGTTTACTCATCTGGTTGGGCTGTATAAATATATAATTGTAAATGAAAATAATAAACATACATAAATATCAACGAAATAAAATAAATGCATAAAAAATACATAAATAAATAAAAACCCAACCAGATGGAAGCCCTCGGCAGGGGAGACCAGACGGCCGAGGGTTAGGGGGAAAGGGAAAGAAACCGGCGGACGATGCGGGCGGTATCGAGGAGCATTATTATTATTATTATTATTCTCCAATTTACATGTCTAAAAACTCTTCTTCTTCTGTAATCTCGCTGGTTCTTTCTAGTACAAAGTTATTTTCCAATACGGTAATATTGAATAAAATATTATTGCAATCCTCATAACGCGAAGCGTTATAGGTATGTTCTACTCTCGACATGTCGAGATCAAGCAATTTTGTGTTCTTAAAATGCCTCTATCATAGCCATATTGCACTTATACGATAATATCAGTATATCAAAAACACTTTTGTAACATAATTAATGTATCTTATATTTTCTAAAAAAATTATTCTATGTTGCTACTAAAAAAACGGTATGAAAAAAATTACGTGGACGTTCAGATGTTGATTTTGTATGTGGTCAGGATAATTCGAGAAAAAATTGACGTATCGAGACCGGGTTATTTTTATTAGCTTAAGACTTACATCAACTGGTTTTCTGTTTTATATCAATAGCCAACTATGCGTAGTTTGTTAATAAAATGATTTTCAACTTTTACAACTTTTAAATTTTTAAATAGCAGTACTATTTAAAAATTTAAAAGTTGTGTTTTTACCATTTGATAGACAAATGACAAATGTACCGCCTATATCGATTTTATACTTTGTGTAATCGATTTATTTTAACACTACCTGTTAAAATAATAGAGTGCTAAATTTAATACACGTAAATAATATATTTTAAAAGTCAGGAATACAATTTATTTTTTTCGTCAAAATTAAATGAAACGCTCATGAGGCGTGCACTTTTGGGATTTTCCAAACTATTTTATTCGATTTTCTTATTTGGGAAACACTAGTAATTCTTTTAACTTAATAATGTAAAACATTTATTTTTGTTTCAGAAGAAGATTGGCACGGTGATGGCAGTCGAATGGATGGTATGTTTCCTTTTTCTATTACTTAATATAAGTTTAAAATAAAGGCAGAACTAATACAGAAGCTCTTGTAATTTTGTCTTCACCGACGGTGTTTGTTTTGAAAATGCTTTGCTGTTTTGAAAATGATTTAGCACTTCTGTGTATTTTAAAGAGTTAAATAATTATTAGGTGAATGTATGTAATTGACAATGTATTAAAATAAGAAGAAGATACAATAATTAGAATAATGATAATTAGATTTCGCAGTCAGGTTTTATTTCATCTTTCTCTGGTTTATTTTTTATTTAGGTACGTATTTGCGGTAGTTTTGAAATTATTTTCGCAAAATATATAAATATTTAAAACTAAAAATACACAAATGGTTATATAGCTCTACTCCTCGCAGCTTAGTGGCAGGAACGCTGCTTGCGATTCCCCGCTGAAAGGTTATTAGTCATAAACCTTTAGGCGAGGAAAGTACCAGCCCCCTATCACCGGAGACGATTACTCGCTGTTTCAGTCATTTTAGAAAAATCTCTGTACACGGACCTTATTGATCGAAATATTAAAATTAATTTCAGTTAGAAATCAATATAACTTGATTCAGATTTCATAAATGTCGCCAATTATTTATTCTCAAGGATTTATTTATCTAACCTTTATTGTTGCCATCTTCAACTAAAATTAATGTAATTCTACAAATGGAATAAAACTAATTCTACGGATTTTTGGCTTTTAATTAAAAAAATTATTTTAATAATGAAAACTATGTGTACAGTTCACACGCGGTAAAAGTGAAAACTTCAAAATTGTTTTATAATAGCATACAATCTACTTCATTCTATTGATAAAGTCATTTATCGAAGAAAAATTAATTGACTTTCCAAGTGGTACGTAAAATGGACGCCAGATGGCTTAAACACGACTAACTAAATATAAAGCGGTAAGTTATGAAATCATGGATAGTTATGAATGTCGGTTTAGGTAATTTTATTCAATATAATTTGTTGATTTTTTTATTCTGTTTATTTCAACAGTTAAAAGTTATATTATCCAGCTATAAAGCACCACACAAAGATTAAACCAAAATAATAAGAAACTATTATTAACTATATGTTATTAATTATATATTATTAACTATTTATTCTATCCCATTCTTTCGCAGACTAAATCCTATAGATGTATATATTTGTCTCTTTTTAGTGTCGCTTAAAATTCCAAAGTTCCTTTAACCCCAAACAGACAATTAAATTCGTGAGAAGTAACGAGAAACATATCTACAACGAACTCTAAAAACATATTATCTAGGACATGCGAAGTCCGCACACGCATTCCTTAACCCCAAACCTATCTTACATTTTCTTAAATAAAGTGCCCTCTCTAAGGAAGTAAAACCCTTGGTCCTGCACCTCATCGTTCTTTGGTCGTGTCGTATTTCTGTCCCATCGAACTCTGAGAGGGAGGGAATAGAGAGCAAACCTGTGCTTACTAGTGTTGCAAACTTAGTGGATTTTCCACTAAAACTGTTGGTTACGACCTTCTTTTTAGTGGTTCAGTAGAATAATGTTTCAATTAGTGGAAGGATGATCACTCAACCATAAAGCCTCTTATACGTTTCGGAGTATATTTCTACCTTATTAATTACTTTTACTGTGTAGGCAACACTGATTCGTCAGACATGACGTGACGTCAGACGATCCATACTATTTGCTTTTTTATGTGCTATTTGAGTCCTCGTAGAATATTTTAGTAGTAGCTTACTAAAGTCAATGTCGTATTCTTTCACGAGTTCATACGTCCCTGTGTCGAAACCACAGTATACACAAAAGGAATCGGAATAATTGGCTTTAAGATCAACTTTTCAAGGATTGGATCGCTACTTAAAGGATTGGTACGCTTTTATTTTTGTCGCTACTTGACCAGTATTGGTTGATAGAATTACTGGTCAAGTAGCGAAATGCAAATTTTGTCACACAATTGTAAGTATGATAATGGAAACCGATGATAACAGTGTCGATAAAAATGATAACTGAAGAAGGCAATTATTTTAAAATAGCAGTTAATGAAATAATATATTCTTTATTTTGACTTAATGATTTATTGACTGCATGTTGATTTATTGATTATTTACATAAAAAACTAATGTTTTGTTGCACATATTGTAATAATTAAGGTAAACAATTACTAATATACCTATTTTTCTCTTTCATAAACAAAAATTTGTTTAGTGGCAAATTTGGGGATTATACGTGTAGGGTCGCTTTTTGTTAATCGTTTTCTGGTGGTTATAAAGTTGCATCTGCTGAACAGCTAGTTTAGTTGTTGGCAACACTACTGTTTGCGCATACACTCATACACATTAAAATCCGTTCCTGCGCAGATAGCTAGTCTCCGTGGAGACCGGTCACCGGGACCGAAATTCGGTTTGGCGGATTTTGTTTAATTTATTCAATCTTATAAGATACCAGCTGTTCTCCGCGACTTCGTCCGGGCGTAATTTTTGTTACGATTGGATTTCATGAGTTTTATTTTTTTGCGCGGAATCCTGATTGTATTTTTCTAAAAGAAAAGTAGCCTAAGTTACTTCTTATAACAACAGCTATCTGCCAGTGAAAGTCCGTTCAAAATCGGTCCAGCTGTTTCGCAGATTAGCCGGAACAAACAGACAGTCAGACGGACAGACAGACAGACAAAAATTTTAAAATTGTATTTTTGTTATTAGTACCGTATATACTTTCATATGCATTTAGTAGAAAGCTGTAATTTTGGCATTACAAACAGACATTACAATTTTTTTTATAGATTAAGAGTGACATATTATAACACTCAAAATGTGCTTTATTCAGAACTTTATTTGTGCTATTAAAAGTATATTCGGGCGGTGTTTAGTTCAACAAATCTATGCCTCTATTGTCACCCTGATAAATGACATTAGGCTAAAAATTTCCTTATGATACAATCTATTTTATCCACCACTTCAATGTTCCTGATTTTTTTCCATTTACCAATTATTTCATACCTTACTTAATTTACCTTCTTAACTTACAATAATTGCACAGTTTACTCGCCATTATTGACTATCAATTATTTCATACCTTACTTAATTTACCTTCTTAACTTACAATAATTGCACAGTTTACTCGCCATTATTGACACCCAGAAAACAAATTTAGCGAACGTAAAAAATAAAAATAAAAACATACAATCCGACTAATTATGTGTTTGAAAAAAATTTAATCGGTTCCGTTTTGGAGGTGGAAACGGGGAAATACGGAATGCTGATCTCGTCAATTTGCTCAGGTATAATCTGGCCGTGTTGTCTCGCGGTTGTCTAGCTCGGTCATTTGGGCACAGCGCGACAGCAATAGGTTGTTAAAACTGGTTGGTTCTCTTTATCTTTTTAATAATTTGAACTTAGCATGAATACGTCGTTTATTAAAGGATTAGATGTATTAATTGTTAATGAAGATTGATTGGACGCTTTCTTTTTCAATTTTTTTTATGAAGTCTAGATATTATTTAAATAATAGAGTGCATTATACTGCACTTTTTTTTATTAAAACAAAATCAAAACATTACAACTTCAAAAACTAACGCCTGACTGCTAAACTGCAAACGAAATGTCTCGTAGCTTGTAATTGTAACGATCCTTCAATTTGGGACAGCTGTAGATGTACTGCTTGGAGGCAGTAATAGCCAAGAGAATGATACAAGGTGACGTGAACTCCTTAGCAGAAACCATCGTATGGTTTCACATATTTCAACTGGTTCTGAAACGCAAAAGCCTCGCTCAAAAATATGGTTATATCTATTTACAATTTCATCATTACTATATTAACCTTGGCGCCGACCAATAAAATTGTCATTTGCAATTTAAAGAACGTATATCTTCATTACCCTTCCATCACTGCCTGAAAAGGTGAAAATTTTTTCATCCATCCATTACAGCCTATAAAAGTCCACTGCTGAACATAGGCCGCCTCCATAGATTGCATCATTTATAATTTTGAGTTGTTCTCAAAAAGGCGCTGCTGACTATCTCCTGGCTTGATTTCCTCCGTCGCCTCTTACGACATCCACGGAACGATATAGGGTAGTCGATATTTGTACACCGTCACTACACAGGATTTATTTGAGTACAACATTCAGTCTCGCTAAAACTCAAGAACGTTTAGAAAGATTTTGTTGAATTTTCTTTTGTGTGCATTTGAGTTGGTCCCTGGATGGTTTAGATTCCCATTTGGACCGGGTACGTGGCGCTGTTTTCGAGATATAGAAATCAGTCGGGCAAAGCCGGACGGATCGCTAGTGATTATATAAAAGAGGAGGAGGTTGTTCATATTTTGGTCGAATTACGACCAAAATCTTGGTCTCTTTTTAGTATATTCTTTACTTGCGAAACGGTTTCAACTTTTTTACTTGATTAGTATATACTTGGAGAGTAAATTTCACCCCTGATGGCGGAAAAATGTGGGGTAAATTTTTTAGTGTAACTTTTAGGCGACATTCTAGTTGTAATCTTGAGTTTGTAACAATCAATAAAAAAGTGGAAATTATTTTATGCCTTTAAGTTCTTTGAGGTCAACATTTACTTTTAATAAAAAAAGTTCATTTCTCTTTATTATTCGTTTATAGTGATTAATTATAAAGTAAAAGTGTGATCGGAGTTCTTTGGTTATATTGCGGCCCAACCTTGCAATATTACACTCCAGCTGTTTACTGAGAATGAAGTCAATTTCGTTTTTCGTGAAACCGTCGAGGCTATGCGGATGAGCAATCTCAACTTCATACATATGTCAGGGACAAGTTGTAGGGGCGGTGTAAGAATATTCATTTCGATATATCATCACGTGGGTGTCGTAAGACGCGACGCAACAGGGGGAAACAAATCAGATGGGCAGCAACGTCTTCCTAACAACGACTAAAGGTACAAAACTGCAGTGGCAAGCGTGGCACCTATAGCAAATGTGAGGCAATCTAACGGGGAGGCCTATGTTTGGTTGTGGACTTACGATGGGCTG